TTATTCTGTGTCCCCATTAATACTGAAATTCATAAACGTACAGGGTTGGGGTGAGCATGCTGTGTCACACTCTCCAATGTGATGATACAATTCCCATAAGATGGTCGCTAGCTAATTAAGGCTAGCGAGCTGCATTCTTTAAGAGTCATATATCTTTGTTATACCAGACAAACGCTCCCCCTTGGTGCACGGCAACAGCAAGTTCAGAGTTTTTTGATGACTGAAACTTCTATTAACTTGCATTTAAAATTCAATCGCCATGGAATGAGGAACTACCATACCTCCATATCCATCTATATCTCGATATAGCAGACAAAAATGAATTACCCATGGTGCTAAATTGAATTTGTTGCAGCACAGCCTCAAATCCTCAGAATGTTTGGTGCCATAAGTAGATTAAAATCTCCCTGTGATGTAAAAATTTCCAATGCAACCACTGTAAGAGGTTTCAGGGAGATGCCGCGGTGCTACTGGAGCACTTTGTGTTGTCATCTCGTCAAGGTGACTAGAGTTCAGATTGGATGCCTGAAGGCTGTGTTGTTCATCTGAACTCCTGGCCTTTTGGACCAGGGTTCAAAGGTGCAGAGTCAGCAGGTTTTTGGACATCCAAGCTGATCTTACGTTTAGGAAAATGCCACATTTGCTAAAGAAATTAACTCTGAGAAATTTAATGTTGAAATTACTTAAAAAACCAAGTTCACTCAATTTTTTCAATGCATACGCAGTGGTCTCTAGTAGAACTGAATGTTTTGTGATCCGATCTTGTCATGATGTGGAGTTGTTGTTAGGACCCAGATGCAGGAGAACAGGCAAAGGATGCAGGTAAAAAAATAAGAGTTTTATTTGAATAATGGCAGGTAGGATGACGTGGTCTGACACAGACCAGCACAAACAGAGGGTTTAAGTACATTAGGATATTCAGGGAAACAGGTCGGTATGGTAACGAGGGGCAGGTGAGTCCAGTCAACACTAACAAGAGAAATAAGACAGGTCATGGACGTTTCTCAATGCCAACGAACCTCGCTTTGATGTCTTCGTCCCATGATGCAAGTCTGTTCCATTTAACCATTTTCTTTGACCAAGGAAGGACAGTGTCTTCGTAAGCAAGGTGCCTAGACTCATAAGACATCGCCTTGTGAGGCCAGGCGCCTTGACATTGAGAAACAATCAATGTGTGCATGTCTGCTAGCTATCTGTTTACCACAAGTTGGTGTTCTATTTCCTGATATTCTGACATCTCACTTCTGTTTGGCAAACAGCAACGTGACTCTTCCACTGCCTCTTTTCACTCTTCAACGACAATGTTTTATCTCTTTAAATAACATAAGCCTGAAGAAGTTCTGCCATGTTGTGGAGTTGCTAATGCTAACAGTTAGCTTTCACTAGCTGGGTGAGTCTCCGAATGCTGATTTTCAATGTGAAGTGGAATTGACTGACTTGTCTAATTTGAGCATTTTCGCCATCTTTTTTCTACTGGATGCTAATGCAGAAAATGGGGGGGGGGGGGGGGGGGGGCATTTTAACATTTAGCCTGCATGTTAAACTCCATGTGACCGATCATAAATCCAGAAATGACAAGTAAAAAAAAAACGTCTAATCAGGTTATGTCAACTGGATCCACTAAAGCTAGTTACCTAAATGTTTACTTTTAACATACCAGTAATAACTTATAGCGACTAAGTAAAATTCAACATTTCCTTTTTTAGAGTGTACAATCTGAATAGATAATCATTTAATTATAAATCAAAACACTAAAATAAATCTGTCACTGCCTTTGGGTGTATGCAGCATGTGGCTGGAATTAACCTGCCCATAAACACAACAGAGCTCCTTTTTATTTGGCAGTAAAATGGCTCTTTTTACTTAAGCTGCTGGACTTCGAACTTTCTACAACATGTGACCTCGCTGAGATTAGTGTTGGATAAGGTTCTTTTAACGGAAAAAGTCCAAATCCCAATATCAAAGCAGATCTTTTGAAATCAACATCATATGCTTGAGTTAATGTTTCTGTAAGATTATAGCAACAATATGAGTTTCTATTTTTACTTGTGACAGAGTCGAAGGATGCCCGTGATCAACTGCAGCTGTAAGGCTCATGATTTGATAGAAAAATACCAGAACACACAATTAATCACAGTTTGTCTCACAGACTGTGTCCTGTTTTGGTGTTTTGATGAATCACAGTTTTTTGTGCTTCATGTAGAAGTTTGATGTTTCCTTTCCGGGGACAGCGTGGCTCCAGGAGGGCCCTTGGGGAAAAGGAAGCCCTTTGGGAAAAGCGTGATGTTTGTGCAATTCCCAGCTGGGTCCTGTTGTTTGCGTGATTCATAGTCTGTGAGGTAATGTTGTGTTTGAGTTGGGATTTTCCTTTAAAAAAAAATTAGAAGCCAACTTTTCACTACAGTAGTTCTGGGACGTTTTAGGGAGAGGGGAAAGTGACAGGGACAATGTGATGGTTTGGTTCTCTCATCCGATGTGTCTCCATACAAAATTGTCCCTTTCAAGACTTTGCCAAGACTTCAGCATATCGCGGCTGTTTTGGCAGTGAGTGAGGTCACTGATCTGTGCCAAAAGGCATCCACGAACATTAATAACATCCATCCAACCATCCATTCTCTTCTGCTTTTCTGGAGTCAGGTCACGGGGTCATCAGTCTTCTCAGGGAGGATAAGACTTCCCTTTCCCCAGCCACTTGGGCCAGCTCCTCGGGGGGAATCCCAAGGCGTTCCCTGGTCAGACAAGAAACATAGTGCCTCCAGCCTGTCCTGGGTCTACCTTTAGGTTGGATGTGCCCGGAAAACCTCATCAGGGAGGCATCCTAACTAGACGCCCAAGCCACCTCAACTGACCCTTCTCAATATCGAGAAGCAGCGAATTTACTCTGGGTTGTTGAGGAGGAATTTCTGCTGCATGTTTTGGCTTCCAAAGGGCGATTTAAAAGCGGTTTCAACAATGATACTTTATTTTCTACCATTTTGCTCCACCAGTATCTCTTCTTTTTATACAAATGATGGTTGGTTTGGCAACGTCTGCCAATATTATTTCTTACACAGGTACAACCAATCAGCATGAGTTCACCATAAGTCCTGCCTAATGACTCTACGGTGCCATTTCTGAGTACATACTTCCCTTCAAGTACTCGTTTGGTCACTGAAATGGTCTGGAAAGTGGACCTTTCTGGCTGGCCCAGTGAAATGAAGAAACATGCATACCGTGAAGGTCCAGTAAAATTACACGTAAGCTCCAGCGATAGAAATGGGCTCATTGTTAACTTAGTTTTATTATATCAAAGTTTGTTGTCACTCCTGTTCTCTATCTAAGCTATTGCTACAACCTTTAACTGAGTCTTTCACTAATAATAGTCTTCTTGCATCGTTTTCTTTTCTCCAAAACAGCACATGGATCTCATGCCCTGCAGGATTTGTGACATTTGGTGCTGATAGAGGACATCATTTCACAGGAGACCTCAGCTAGACCAGGAAGAACGCGACCAGATGGAAGTGAGCTGAATTGTCAACAGTTCCCTGTTGACTAGCCAGCGAAGCAAGTTCCATTTTGCAGGGAGATTTTTACCTCCAGGAAGTGAGAGACACCACTCACATTCAAGAATGAGGCACAAAGACCAAAACTAAGTGCACAGAACCTCCAGAGTGCCTCACGTGAGAACGAGAGAACAAAGGCGAGGACTGGCTATAATAAAGCCGCATGCCTGCTATAAGAAATGAAATGTAAAGCCATCACCGTGATCCATCTTCATTAAACAATTTCCCCTCTCCCTAGCTTTCGAGGGTATCAGTTTCAAAGGGTCAGGTGTGATTCCTCCTTCTCTTGGGTGTTGGCATGTGTTTAAATATACTGTAGTGTACAGCAGCAGTGCAGCGAAGCAGAGGAATTGGAGGCCATTGGTCCCGTGCCGATTGGCTGCCATTCAAGGTTACTCTTGGAGGGTTTCCCATCACCCCCCTCTAAGTGATACATTGCAATCTGACAAATGCAAACTGTGACATTTAGGAAAGCACTGGGAGAGTAACTACTGTTGTGGTGTTAATGTAGGCTCCTTGCTGCCAAACTAGACTGTTGGGTGGGCAGCTTTACAAGCATGATGTCCATTAAGCCGCCAGATCATTCCATAATTATACTTCACATTCCCATTAAAAAATCCCCTGTGCTCAGACTGTTGAGCCCTGTGAGAGAGAAAATTACCTCTAGAATAAATGCAAGGTGGGTCAAAATAGAGAAAGGATTATTGTTTTTATATATTTTGTATAAAACTGACTTTAAAATGAAAGTTTGAATATTGGAAACCTTTTCTTTTGTACGTTCTTGCTGTGTTTGTCTTCTAAGTCCATTTTTGGTTCTTTTTTAAACACAGGAAAGGTTTTTCTTTACCTTGCTGACGTTTCGTTTGCGGCTGCAAACATCTTCAGAGCTGACGCTGATGGTGGCGTCACTTCCAACTCTGTTTATCCGCGGGCAGCAGAGGACCTTGTCGCCCTCTGCTGCCCGCTCTCCCCTCTCTGATGATGCAGTCCCATGCGTGATCCAATGAGTAAACTCCATTATCTCTGTTCCTGGTCCCACATCCACGTCTCCATATCTCTATAACTTCCTTTATCCATCTTTTGTATTTCTGTTGTTCGGTGTTTATGATCCTTGTGTTGTCCCAGTCCATTACATGGTTTTCTCTTGTGAAGTGATCTGTTACGGCTGACATCTTTATTGTGCTTTCTGCTTCTTCTTTTGCTACTCTTGTGTGTCTTTGACTTGTTTCTTTCTCACACTCCTTTCTATGTTCTATTGTTCGTGTGTTGAGTTGGCGTCCGGTTTCTCCTATGTATGATTTATTGCAGAGTTTGCATGGGATTTTGTAAACGACTCCACATTTATGTCCAGCTGTTATCTTGTCTTTTGGGTACACTAGTCTGTTTCTAACTGTTGTGTATGGTTTTGTTGGTGTGTTTATGTTGTGTTTTTTCATTGTTGCTCTTATTTTTTTGATGTATGGTACACTGAAAAAAAGGTAATTGGCAGGTCTTTGAATATGCTAAATCATATTTTGTAGGTGTTACACAATTTATACATGTTTCTTCTGTATACATGATTTATTGAAGTAAACTGGAGTTATTTTTCCACAATGTTAAATGTACACAATTTTCTTGCATTGACTAAAAGTGATTACATTGCCTAATTTAAATCAATATAATCATGTTCAACTAAAACCGGAAATGACACTGTTCAAAAAAGGCGCCGTAAAATATTATTGGACGATTGAAAGCGTTTTCAGCCAATTGTGATCACCCAACAAGATTGGAGGAGACGGGTGTAACCACCTGCAGCAGAAGCCTGCGGCTTTTTCCCTCGCATGGAGCTAATGTGGAGTCTGAGTGAGCACATGGATACTGAGTGAGAAAGTAAGTAAAATTACTTTAAGATTAAGCATGAGCCATGTCTAGATTGTTTTTGTCGAGTTATGTATTCAGAGCACTATGCTAGCTTGCTTTCAATGCTGTTAAGTTGATAACGCTGTGTGGACTGTCAAACATTCAGTGTTCATGTTCGGTGGAAAGTAGCCTTTTTTTATATGTCCGTGTATGTAGCAATTTTGTCGGTCAGCAAGCTAATTAAACCACTGAAAGAGCAGTATAAAATGGATGCCGTGTTTGGTACATTGAGTTCTCAGAATTATTAACATGCAGCGCAGGACTGCACCAAATTAAACCTTAAAAACAGTGGCTAGGCTTCAGCTGCGAACAAACTTGGGTTGCCAGCCTTTCAATGCGGCGGGTGCACGCGTTCCGTCGGGGATTGAGGATCGCGTGGACCGTTTGTACTCCGAACGGTGGGGGTGGGGTGGGGTGGGTGGTGCGCGTGGACCGTTTGTACTCCGAACGGTGGGGGTGGGGTGGGGTGGGGTGGGGGGTGCGCGTGGACCGTTTGTTCTCCGAACGGTGGGGGTGGGGTGGGGTGGGGGGTGCGCGTGGACCGTTTGTTCTCCGAACGGTGGGGGTGGGGTGGGGTGGGGGGTGCGCGCGGGCCGTTTGTGCACCGTTCGTTTGGGCGGCAGGATAGAACCATTGTAGCGTGACGTCACGTGCTCAGATGGCCGGTGTCGATACCAGATCTGCTCGGTGTCCTTGTCTCACAGCTAGCTAGCTATTTCAAATTCATTTGGAAGTCTAAAGTGGTGATATCTAAAAATCCCTAGGTTTTATTTTGAAAGTCTTAAATCGCAGAGATATAGCTGTGGGTAATGGCTGGAGACGGGTTTTTTTTTCCCTCCAGCAAGTGTGGATGTGCGCAGTTACCCGGACTTAATAACATGCATGCCTGAGCTCCACAAGGAGCATCCGTGAATAAAGATATATCTGTATGAAATGCACAAGACAGCCGCTTCCCCTCCCAATGAAATCAGAGACTGTGAAGCAAATCCTGTTATATTTATTTACAGTGTGGTGTTGGTAATAAAATGAATATCATTACATTTGTTTTATGCTACTGGAAATTTAATAATTTCTAAATTCAAGATTATTGTCATCTTGCCATATTCTAAGCTATAGTTAAACACCAGTAACTATTATTTAATATTATTAAACATGTTTATAATGCTTTTAGAATTGTGTATTGTATGTTGTTTTCGTATCTTAATTGCAAGCTGGTATTTTAATAATGTGGCTCATGATTAATTTGATTGTGTCTTACAGGTTTAGGTGTTACTGGGAATGTGGAGATGTAAGGGGTGCACAGAAACTGTGTCAAGTAGGTCTAAGCTTTTGCATCACTACAAATTAAAGCATCCACATTTTGGACATAGTTCTCACTTTCCATGCACATACCAGAATTGTCCGTGTACCTTTAAGACATGGAATGCCCTTATTGTCCATCAAAGTAAAATTCACTGCACAGAAGTCTCTTGTAAAGTGAAAGCAATTTTCAGCTGCCACTTGTGTAGTTGCAATGATTTGTCATCAGAAAGGGATTATTTTGCTCACATATATTCCCATCTTAAAAGAAATGAGACTGTCATTTGTATGTTTTTAGGGTGTGAGTTCAAAACAAACATTTACAGCACATTTAAAACACACAGAAATCGCAAACATAGCCATCACAGACTAGCTGATTTTAAACAGGGAGTAGTTGTAAAAAGCAAAACTGAAAATGATTTAGAGCAAAATGATCAGGAGTTAGCAGAACAGTCTGATGCTGTCATTCTTTCACGTGGTCAGTGTCGTACTGAGAATGTGCATGAAGTAATAGAGCAAAGATTTGCTGCTGCTTTGCTGAAGTTGGAGCATTTGGTTCTTGTACCCAGTTCAGCCATTGATGTATTTTTAGAGGAACTCCATCATTTAATTTGTTCTGCATCCATCCCATTATCTTATGACACATTGAGTAACATCTTTCATCAGAGAAACCTCCTTGTTGATGAAGTTATAGTTGCAGAAACAGTTGATGCTATTTGCTCTGGTAATCCTGTGCAAAGATCCATTCAAAAGGGTGGCCCTTTAAGTACAGCTTATCTTCGTAAGCTATATTACAAGGAGAAGTTCAGTGTCGTAGAGCCAGTTGAATACATACTTAATGTTAAAAACAAACACAGTTTCCAATATGTCCCCTTACTGAAGTCTTTACAACAGCTGTTGAGTAGAAGGGATATTGTTGAGCAGTTTGTTGAAAGTTATCAAAAGCAAGAGGAGACAGATTGTGGAAACTCGGATCTGTACCGTTCTTCAAAAGATGGTTCTCTATTTAATGGAAATTGTTTTCTTGCTGGTGAAAAATTGAGGATCATCCTAAATTTTTATGTGGATGACTTTGAAACCTGCAACCCTCTTGGCACATCAAGGAAGAAACATAAGCTTTGTGCTGTTTATTGGGTGTTGGCTAACTTGCCCCAGGGGTCTAATTCCTCATTATCATCCATCTACTTATCAGTCTTGTGTAAAACCAACGATGTTAAAAGTTATGGTTATGATAAAATCTTGGAACCTCTTCTACAGGATTTGAAAATACTTGAGGAACATGGTGTTTATGTACCGCTGTTAGGAGAGTCAGTTAAAGGTACACTATTCAGTGTAGTTGCTGACAACCTGGGAGCACACAGTGTTGCAGGATTTTTGCAGAGTTTTTCTGTGGAGTACTACTGTAGATTTTGCATAGGAAAGAACAAGGACATTCAACTATACTCTGTTGCATCTGGTGCTTTTCCTCAAAGAACCAAGGAGCTTCATCAGGTTCATGTCCAACAAGCCCAAGAAACAGGCACAGGTTGTTTTGGAGTAAAAAGGGAATGCATCTTCACCAAAAATCTAACTCACTTTCATGTCATCTTTGGTTATCCCCCCGATCTTGCTCATGATGTTTTTGAGGGCATAATACCAGTAGAGTTGGCTCATTGCTTATCAGTGCTTATATCCAAAAAGTTTTTCACATTGGCCCATTTGAATAGTGCTATTCTGAAGTTTCCCTACAAATTTGGTGACAAGGCAAATAAACCGCATGTGGTGTCACAAAGTTTCTCCAGCACAAAAACAGTTGGAGGCAATGCACATGAGAACTGGAGCTTACTCAGGTTTTTATCTTTTTTAGTTGGATCACTTGTGCCTGAAAATGAGCCTGCTTGGCTTGTTCTCATGGATCTGAAGGACATCACAGAGCTTGTAGTCGCTCCTGTACATAGTGATGACTCTTTGGCCTTTTTAGAAAGTAAGATCTTAGAACACAGGCAAAGATACCAAGCGTTGTTCCCAGACATCAAACTGCTCCCAAAACACCATTATTTGGAGCACTATCCTCAGATGATTAAGCTGTTTGGTCCAGTTGTCGGTCAGTGGACAATGCGTTTTGAGGCAAAGCATAGCTTTTTTAAGAAGATTGTCAGACACACAAGCTGCTACAAAAATATTCCTCTCTCGCTGGCCTTGAGGCATCAGATGATGATAGCTTACCATCTAAGCTCTCCAAGTTTTAGCACTTCTGAACTTGAAGTTTCAGCTGTGTCAACTCTACCTGTTGACTTGCTCAAAGACGAGATAGCTCAAACAATCAGAGATAGATTCCCTGACACACCAGAGGTTCACCTTACACAGAGTGTGACAGTAAATGGCATAACTTATAAGAAGGGAATGGTACTGGTTCACAGGGCAACAGGTGGGTTGCCCGAATTTTGTGAAATTGACCAAATCTGCATTTTGCATCAAAGTGTATTCTACATAGTAAGAGAGCTTGGTGGCTGGTACAGAGAACACTATAGAGCCTTTGAACTCAACTCAGTATCCACAAGATCATTGATTCTTGTAGCACTCAGTGAACTCCTTGATGCTTATCCTCTTGTTGACTACAAGATTGGATCTGTTCGGATGGTGACCTTGAAAAGACATATAGAAATAAAAGGTGATGAAAAGCTTTTGTTTTCTATATTACATGTGGTTGTTTTCTAACACAATTTGTTGCATTTACAGGTGCACCTGGGTTTTAGCAGTTTTTAAAATTTATTTATTTTCTCCAGTGATTAAAAATGGCTCTCCTGCGGTTCCAATGGGCCTGTATCTTTTGTTGTCATCTTTAGTTTGCACAAATGACCTCATCAGTGTTTGCCGGCTTTCCTTTTAAAGGAAGTTTCACACTGGAAGCATCAGTGGCGCAAAAAGGCAGCGGAAGCCTTACTGAGATGCTATTGTTTTCGATCATTTTTTTCACTCTATTTTAGGGCTGCTCAATTAATCGAATTTTAATCACGATTACGATCTGAGTTTTGAACGATTATAAAAAACAAAACAAGCCGATTATTTGCTCCTCCCGCTTGCGCTGCCCTGAGTAGCAAATGAAGCGCTCCTTACAGTGTTGCCAACTTAGCGACTTTGACGCTATTTCTAGCAGCTTCTCAGACCCCCTTCTTGGCTTTTTAAATCTTAAAAGTACCTAGCGAACACCTCAGAAACATCTCTGGTAACCCTTAGCTACTTTCTGGATAACTGTCGTCGACATTTCCTGCAGGTTAGCTAAACACGCCGCCTGCGCTCCGGACCGTTCTTCAGGACATTATAGGAAAGGGAATGATGTAGTGATGTGTCAGTTGCTAAAGACAGCTCTCGGAGCCGGCTCCCTGTTGGATTAACCAGAGTGAGTGACACACACCGCACCTGCGGACTCCTGAGTCACTAAAAACGGCTAAATGTGCGCGTGCTAAACACACGTGCAGCTTGCCCCGTTTGCTGTGAGAGCAGGTTGGGGGTGGGGGTGCAGCTGTGGTTGGGACAATTATTACATTAACTGATGGACTTGTAAATAAATAATTTATAAATAAGGTAGAAATAAGTTCCTCACACTGATAAATAATAACTAATCTCTCTGAGGACACGGTGCTAGTGCACTCTCCTACAGCACCTTGACACGACTCAATAAATGTTATGCAAAATTTTGTGAACATCAATTTATTTGTTATAAATGCCACTGTATAATTCTTGCTGTCAGTATTAGCAAGATATTGGTATTTGGGTCTGTACTGGTTAGACTTAAATGAGCTAAACCAAGGTCTATAGCCCTTGGGTCATAGACTATGGGCTAAAAGTATATTGGTCTTTTTATACTGGGAATCAGGAGTTCTTTTAGTGATCATCTTGTTTCTTATTTATTTTTGTCCTGATTGTGCCCTGAGCAATTTTATGACTGAATAAAAACAAATAAAATCAACATAAATAGAAAAATCGTCCTAAATAATCGTGATCTCAATTTCAGTCACCATAATCGTGATTATTATTTTTGCCATAATCGAGCAGCCCTACTCTATTTACTGTTCTTTTCTGTGCTTTTAAGCTTGAACATTTGCTGTTGTAAGTAACTGGAAGGAAAATTGACTTGAATGACTTGGAACATTTTTTGATTATTTACATGTAAATTTTCTGTTTGCAGAGTAAGTGTTGAAAATGGGAACTGCTATGATCCTAAAGATCATCTTGGCTGATGGTACCTCTCAGAGACTGACACTCTCCAGTGGACCCCCAGCATCTATTGATGATCTAACTGATGAAGTGAGGAAGCAGTGCGGACTTCATGGAGATTTCAAACTTCAGTTTATGGATGCCTTGTTTGGAAATGAATTCCTGAACCTCACTTCAATTTCCGAAGTTGAAAACAAAGGGACTCTTAAAGTCATTGACGTGTCAAAGACTGCTACTGTCCAGCACATGGATGAGGACTCTACTTTTAATCTTGTCTCAGAATCACAAGTATTCACGCCTTCCTCTGTTGGTGACTCCTCATACCTGTCAGGGGTATCTGAGGACACGGATGTGATGTCATCGAGTGAATTGGTTGGCTCACGATCATTGTGGCCTGCTGTGTTTCATGTTCCTACGTTTTCTTTTGATTCAGAGTTGAAACTTCAGCATGCAAATTTGGCTTACATTCAGAATGGGACTACACTTATTCCAGATCCGAAGTTGAAATCGGCAATCCTTGAGAGTTTGGTGCAGGAAATTGTGAAATATAAAGTCTATGCCAACGATAAAGAAATGCACGAGGTTGCCCAGAGTCTCATCAAAAAGCATCCTTGTTTGACAGAGAAAGGGTCCAGCACTGGATGTGGTGGGTGGAAGACCAGTTTAAAATATAAACTGTCTAACTACCGCACACAGCTGAGAAAACTTGGATACCCAGAGGTGACTGTAAACTCTTTAAAAAACAAACCTGTTGGAAGGCAAAGTGCAGCCTTTGGTGTTAAAAAGGCAAAGAGAGCAGAAGTGAATTTTTGTCCACCATACCCAGCAGCAGAAACCGAGGACACACTGGAGACTATGCAGAAATCTCTACTTTTGGATGTAAAGCAGAGAAACAACAGAAAGCTTGTAAAACACAAGATGGAAAAGACCTTTGCATTAAGACGACATGAAGTTGTTCGGGATGCACCAATGGTGGAATCTTTCATGGCGAAATGGCCTGCCCTGTTTGATGTCAGTGAGGTAAGATTTGCACCATGCATGGTTGTTTATCAAAGTAAAGGGCTTATTTTTTTAATAGAAAAACAAAACCTGGCAACAGCTGTTGTGGCTGATTAGAGCCCTGCACCGGAGCCCTAGGCCCAGGGGTCGGCCCACCCCGAGGGCCGGGCTTCGGGCCAATGACTGTGTAATTAACTCGGACACGGGCCGGGCGCCTATATTTTTAATCGAAATCATTAAAAAAATACTTAAAAACTTGAACGCAGCAGCACCTGCCTGCTTCTCACGCACCGGCACCGTTAGCTCAGTTAAGGTGTGTGTGGTTTATAAATGCACCTATATAAACAAATTCTCAAACTGCTGATTGAAACATGTGCCCCTATTCTAACATGCCATTTTATGTCCACTTTGATGTCAGAAACCATTCATTTATTCTCATGAAAATGGCAGCATTCTATTTTTCTGTGAATAAATTTGCTCTGCAGTAAAAAAAAATACAGCATTCATTGCTGGGTTTTTTCTAACTGGAGAGCGCATTTTCAGAACGGCTGATTAAATTTACAAACGCTGTATTAATTCGGGGGTGTTTATTTAATCTGCCGCACTGAAAATGCGCTCTGCAGTTAGAAAATTAGAATGCTGCTTTTTTTTTTTCTAATTGCACAAGAGCGCATTTTCAGAGCAGATTAATTTAGAAATGCATCCAATTAATATAGTGTTCATAAATTTCATCTGCCGCTCGAAAAATACGCTCTGTTAGAAAAAAAAGCTGCATTGATGCTGTTTTTCTTTCTCTTCTTTTTTTTTTTTTTTTTTTTTACTGCAGAACGCTTCTCACAGATAATTAGAATGCCGAGCAATCTATCCCGCTAAAACATTATGAAAGGTTAAAAAAAAGTCTGGCTCGGGTTGGGCCAGAGAATCCTGAAAACCTTTTTGGACTGGGTCGAGCTGGTGCTCCTCGGGCCGGGCCGGACACGGGCTCAGATTTTAGGCCCGTGCAGGGCTCTATGGCTGATTATGTTACTTGTCTGTGACACTTCTGTTGAGTGACTTGCCTTCAATGTGTAACATGTTATGTCATTTGTGCTCTGTTTTTCAGATCAATGCTGAATTTGAGAGGATAACCACAGTTCCACTACAGTCAAAGTTCCTGTCTCAGCTGGATCTCCACTCTGACACCCTTATAAAGTTGTTCCAAAAAAGAGGAGGGCAGCTAGGAAGAAGGCTCAAAACGATTGTTGCACAAATACCTGATGTAAGTAAAGTGTGTGTGCTTGTTTATTTATTTGACAGGCACTTTTATCCAAAGCGACGTAAAATTGTTAACCTATGGGGCATGTTGTGATCTGTGGGGGAAACCAGAGTACCTGAAGGAAACCCACGCATGCCTGGGAGAACATGCAACACCACTCAGAAAGACTAGGGGTCTCAAACCATGTTTCTCAAGGGGCCCCATTCAGCCCCTGATCACCTGTTCAGCAGGTCATCATGGTTGTACACCACAGCTTTGGAGTTTTTAATTATGTGGAGAGTATGTAAGTTTTGGAAACTGCTATCAACTTTCTCAGAATATTTTTTCTACTTTTTTATTCAAATTGTAAATTTTGTTTATATTTGTCAGCTTCATGCCTTTTCTTTCCAAAGTGCATGCTATTATAGAACCTGTTATATTCTCAGAGAATTGAATACATAAATTTGTGTTAAGACAGTAGACTTTAGACTAGGGGTGGGCAATCCTGCTCCTCAAGGGCTGCTATCCAGCAGGCGTTAGTTGTTTCTCTGCTTAAACACACCAGGTTTGAATCTGCTGGTGATTGACAGGCTGTTGCAGAGCCTGATGAGCTGCTGAACAGGTGATTCATCCAGGAATCAGGTATGTTGGAGCAGGTAAACAGCTAAAACCTGCTGGATAGCGGCCCTCAAGGACCAGGATCACCCACCCCTGGTCTAAAGTCTACTGTCTTAACACAAAATTATGTAAATGATAAATGAGCCGCACTTGTATAGCGCCTCACAGAGTAAGGACTCCAAAGCACTTTACACTAGAGTGTATCATTCATCCATTCACACACACATTCACACACTGATTGTGATGAGCTACGATGTAGCCACAGCTGCCCTGGGGAATACTGACAGAGGCGAGGATGTGTACACACACACACACACACACATCACTGCACACATATATACTCAGACATACATCTACACACACACACACACACACACATCCACACTCACACAAATATATCTACACACACACAAACACACCCATCAAGACACATATCTACACACACATCTAGAAACACATATTTACACACATACATTTTGAATAAAATCCATTCTAGGACCCCTTTAATTTCATGAAAATCTTGATGATTTTGTCTTCAGTGTGACGAGCCAGACGCTGGACGCGAGTGTATCATCAAAGGACTCTGTGTCTACATGGGGGAAGATCCAGAGAACCTTGTGCAGGAATATGTGGTATGTACATACTTATCCCTAGTATTCCAAATACATTTTCTGGCCAAACTTAGGTTCAAACACGCTTAGCAAATGGTAAATGACCTGTATTTGTATGGCGCCTCCTAGAGTTTTACAACCACCCAAGGTGCTTCATAACAAAATCAGTCATTTATCCAAGCACACACACACTCACAACCTGATGGTGAGGAGCTAAATTGTAGCCGCCACAGCTGGGGCTCACTGACAGGAGACAGAAACTGACCGATATCTTGTGAGAAGCTGATATTTATCTCACACACAAACGCAACCGTAGGGAGGGATCTTCCAAGACTCGAGACACTCTCCACCTGTGGTTGAGAACATTCTGCTAGAAAGGCAGTGAATAATACATCTGAGAGTTTAATTCCTGTAGTCTGCTTGACCCAGCAATGGGTGCTTTACTATGAGCAATATATGTGCATTTATTCAGTAGGGTTGTGCCATTTCATAATTTTTACATATATCCAATAAGTATGTGTAGTTACAGGAGAGTCTGTGTGAGTGATAATCTGATTATCTGTGATAATGTCTAATACACCCATGTGTGTTTTTCTGTAAAGGGTCTTTATAATGAGCTTTGTATTTTTATATTAATTTATATATTGTCTCTCTACAGGACATGGATGAAAATGCCATCAAAGAGGTCATTCAAGACACCACCATTGGAATATATGTCATAAAACGATCTACTTCTGCGGAACCAGAGGACATTGGGATTATCCTTGAAGGAATCAGCGTGTTGCAGGATTTGGAAAATGTAGCATTAGCAGTTGCTATGCTATTTGGACTCATGTATGCACTAAACCTCAACTACCCGGTTGACCTCCGTTACACCTTTGAGGTAATCCAGAAGGTTTTCATGGGACTGGATGGCAGTAAACCTTCCAACAAAACACTTGCTCTCAAAAACCAGCTGTTTCAGTGAGTGATTCAATGACTACAGTTTGTGTTGCCTTTTGTATTGACCCATTTTGGCCTATTGTTGTCTCTTTACTCCACTGGAAGTTGGTGGTGTTTTATTATTCATTGTTGAGTAATATTGAATAGTTTATAATAACTATGTTCCAAGTCATTACAGGCGGGTCCTTAAATAGTTCCAGTATTTGAATATTTCAGCAGCTTTGCACTTATCGATTTTATTCTGATTAATATGAAAGTTCGATTTTATCATAAAATGTTTTATATGTGGGGAGCTCATTCAGAGCAGGTTTTCTGTGTCTGGATATTTTAGCAGATTTGCACTCATCATTGTTATTAATGTGAAAGCCTTGTTCATGAAATGTTTTAGATGGGGGAAGCTCATTAAGAGTAGCAAGATTTCAGTTTTGCTGGAAAGGTTCATTTGAAACTAAATTTAAAATTCATTGATGTGAAATACAATATTTAGGACAGAGAAGTTTTAATTAAACTGACTGATATGCAGTTTTGCTCTTTTTCTATTGCTGTAAAGACAATTCCACGGGTTCTTTTGTTTCCCTCAAGTCAGTACAAAAATATCTTGTTAAGAGTCAATGATAATGGAAGTTTATTGCTTTGTCATTTTCTGCCCTTAAAATGTTAATAAACTGAGTTTTACTACAACTTTTCAGTTCTCTGGCTTTTTGTCAATGCAGTTCATATTTTCCATGTTCTAATTTGCACAGACATGGGACCAATGAAAACATTACATTTGGAAACGGGCAACTTAAAAGAAAAAAGTAGGATAAACAAACTTACTTTGCATTACGTTTACACAATATTTTTGAGCAATTCTAACATGAAAAAATCAAGTTGATATTATAGTTAAATATTGTACATTGAACCTAAGAAAAGTATTTTGGCATTATTTAAAAAAATTAAATTACATTTGTTCAGAAAAATCATGTTGAGGCAACATGATTTTTTAAAGCAGTTTCACGTAAAGAAAATACATTGATTGGGAGAGAGTTTATTAGTAAAAGGAAAGAGACATGTTCTATTGGTTAAACTCATTGTAATCATGTGGAACCGATGTACACAATAAAATCACGTAAATCCAAAGAGTTATTTTTTTCAGTGTAGGGTTATCACTGGTTTTGTTTCTTGTCTTTCTGGGTTTCTGCACTGAAAAAAGTCTAACATGCAGTCATTCATTCAATCTAATAAGTTCCATTCAAAACAGAATAAAATCATTGATTTGATTGTGAAACCCTTTCTTTTTGCATTTTAAAATACCACTTTTCATTTGGATGAAACTAAATATCTGTACAAAGGACACAACACAAAGTTTTTGATTTCTCTCAAAACATATATTTCTTTTCATGCTGAACAGATAAGATCTTTAATTTGAGTCAAAGTGATTTGCACTTGAACACGCCCACCAGAAACCGGGACCCATTTTTGTTCTGCATGGCTGCTGGAAACATTGTGTCACATCTTTGATTAATTTCATCTGAAAATAAATGTAAGTAAAGCCAAGTGTGTTACAAAAGCTTTTATAATTTGTATTGCCAAAATTGCAGAAAATAACCACATTTAAGCTAGGTCGACAGCCACCCAAAATTTTTGCATGATTGTAGCTGCTAGCTACAAGCTAGCTAGCTATCCGACACGACGTTAGAACTGGTTACCAGCAACTGACCATCTTAGTAGGAAATGCAAGTTAGGCAAATAGCCTTTTTTTACCAGCCATTTTTTTTACTAACTAGCTAGCGTTACCACAATGCATCGGTGGTGGATACAGCTAGCTAGCATAAGTTCATAGTTCATAACATTCATAGTATAACTCCGTGCTCCGCTTCGTTTGAATTTTTCTGGTGATCTCGCAGTTTCTAGACAAAAGGTTGTGTTTGTGCGCACACGTTTGTCTCTGTCTCTCTTCATATAAATATCTTATAATTATTATTAATGTGCATGATTTAGAGACAGAAATAACCCGCCAGCATATAAGATGAATGACATAAGACTAATTCCTTCAATTGACTTTCAGGCACGGCTCGGAAAAATGTGCATTTTCTGAAGAAATTTTAATTTTAACAGCAAAAAATTGACCCTATGCCAAACTTAGTCGCTAATGGCAGGTCTGTAGACTGGTAAACCTAAATCAAATTATAGTACTAGCTTTTTATAAGGATGTGTATGTCATGTTACGTATTTCTTGGTTTTTCTGTTATGTGTTTTATAGAGAAGTAACATTATTTTTTTTGTATGCTTTCAAAACCACAGATCGCTCCATCTGAGAGGTGAAATAAAATTCCTTTCATGCAGCATACTATCCATATTGCATAGTAACAATTTTAACTGTTCCTGCAGGATGCTGATGCTGACATTAGGAGGGAGTGTATACTTAAATCTCTCATAATCTACCTTGGAGAACGTGTTGAGGACTTGATAAAAGAATACATGGTATGTCCATATCTGTTCTGTCTCTACATGAGATGCAGTCTCTTGATGTAAATTTGACAACTCTGCTATTAAATGCAGTGATTAATGTAGAACAGCAACGATTAATCAACTCATCAAGTTAATATCTTAGGGTTCTGTATTGTTTTCTTATTTTTCTTGGGCTTTGTGGAACATTTATGAAAATGTTCCACCATTGATTAAATTTAATAATTATGCAATTCACAATCTGATTAGTCAAATAATTGTTCTAACAGTCTGTGACCAAGCAACTATCAAAATAGTAGTTTATTATGGTCAAAGATTTATCATGTGTGCCAGACTTCAGTTCTTCACTTGTACATTTTGTTCCACATTTTACCTCAAGATATCCCAGAAAGATGAAGCTGAGGAAGAGCTGCAGAGTACCACCATGGCACTCTTCGTCTTCAGGGACAACTCAAGCCTCCTACATCAGCCTCGAGACATCGGGATAATCATTGATGGTGTGGAAGTCCTGAATGAGTTGTCTTCTGTGTCAGCTGGAGTGGCAATGGTCTTTGGACTCTGTTATGCTCTTAATATGAAATATCCACGAGGATTCAGGTTCACCTTTGAGGCTCTTCAAAAGATTATGATGGAGCTTGACTTTAACAAGATGACCTCTAACCCCAGGTTTCCACGGGAGCCGTCAGCAGCACGTTACTGCAGCAGCACGTCTTGCTCGCGTAAGCTGCTGCTTGGCCCTTCCCATGAGACGCGAAGCAGCAGGGGAGCAGCTGTCACCGACCAAGCACAAAGTCACACGAGTGACTTCGTCAGTAAACACAACAACAAGCAGGAGAAAATTACAACATGGTTTGTGTTTTATGTTCTGTCCGTTTTATAATCGCCAATACGGACCTGAAAAACAAAGGAGACCGCTAGCTTTGTGATAACTTCTCACGGGGCCGCACAGTTAGTAACCTTTTTTAAAAGTAAAGCAACCAGAAGGCAGTACGTTCTTTATTCTGAAAATCTCTGGAGCTTCTCTCCATTTCCGCGTCCGATTTCCTGTCTTTCCTTTCCCAAAAATGTCAAACTTGACCCGTTTCAGAGGCGTCGCGCGTCGAAAATAGAGCCGGCGCGTAAAGGCCGCGACATGCTGCTCCTGAGACGCGGCCGACATGCGCTGCTGATGGCTCCGGTGGAAAAGGTTCTGTTGACCACAGCGGTTCCTATCAGCAGCTATGACGTGCTGCTGCAGTAACGTGCTGCTGACGGCTCCTGTGGAAAGCCGGGGTAAGATTCGCAAACTTAATTGTGAACTTAGCACTGCACAGTAGTGTGTTTGCATGCATGTGTGCATGTGTATGTGCACATGCATGTGTATGTGCACATGCATGTCCATGTGTGCTTGGTTATTTTGCTTGGTTGGCCTGCAGTGGTGTTCTACATTCAAAAATTATAAGAACACCCATTTCAAAGGGAGATTTAAGTTGATTTCATTGATACATGTGTAGATTTTTTTTACATTGTACAGGCACAGTGCACATATAGACATTTTTGAGTACTTGCAAAATGGTTTAAAAAGAGTTTTGGTTTTATGCCAGTTTTACACAGGTTGCAGGTTTTATACCAGTTCTAAAAAGATTGGAGGTTTTATACTGGTTTTCAAAAGGTTGCAGGTTTTAGACTGGTTTTCAAAAGGTTGCAGGTTTTATAAAACAAACATTTCTCTAATCATTCTAGGACTAAATCTTTATATTACTAATCCTCTCTATTGATTACAGTTAAAATGGTTTGGAACAATAAATAATTTTGAAATAATTGGTTGGCCAACTGTCTTGTTTTTATAGGAAATGCAGAGCATTTTTGAACTGAAATAAAATGAAATGTAAAAAATATAGTTTGAATATATGTAAATCAATTACCCGGCTTCAACACAAACATATTAGTTCATGTTAATTTGGTTCGATGTGAATACATTAGGTTGGTTAAATTTCAATATATTAGCTTGGTTCAATAATTAAAATATGGTTCTACGTAAAAAAATCAATTTCGATCAATGCAAAATTTAAAGTTTCGATCTAGTCTAGTAATATTGTTCATATCAACATAAAAGTATCAGGTCATATCAAGTGACTCAATTTGGATTCTATGAAGTCAAATATTTTGGATGTGACCATTGGACATCAATTTTTTTAATTTCAATGGGGTTTTTCTTTTTACAGTGTGGTTATTTGCTTAGGTTGTTCTTTTCTTTCTGTTGTTGTTTGTTGTTTTCCTTTGTTTATTGCCCATGTCGGGTATCCGCAGGTCTTTAAAGCGTGTTGTATGTGTTTGTCCTCTTGTTTATGGTCTCTTTCCTCTGTTATTGTGTTTGTTCGGTGATATAGTGTTCTGATTACTGACATTTTGTGTATGGTGGGGTGTTCTGATGTCCATAATAGCTATTGGTCTGTGTGTGTTGGTTTTCTGTATGTGTTTGTTTAGGGTCCCGTCGGTCTGTCTGGTTATTTTCATGTCCATAAATGCTATACTGCCTTCTGTTTCTGACTCATAAGTGAATTTTATGTTGCCTGTGTCGTCAATGTTATTTAAGTGTTGTGTTAGTGTTTCTGTTTGTCCTTTTGGTATGATTTCCAGTATGTCATCCACGTAGCGTTTCCATAGTTTTATTTTGCAGTTTGGAGGGGCAGTGGCTCTAGGTTCTAGGTCTTCCATGAAAAACTCGCACAGGGTGGCTGATAACGGGTTACCCATGGCGAAGCCTTCCAGTTGTTTGTATATTGTGTTATCATATGTGAAGTAAGTGGAGTTAGCTACCAGTCCTATCAGTTGTGCTATGTCATCTGCTGTGAGGTTTGTTCTTTTGTGTAAAGTTTTGTCTTGTCTGATTCTGTTAACTACTATGTCTATGGTTTTTTGGGTTGGTGTTTTTGTGAACAGGGATGTGACGTAATGTGAGATAAGCATGTCGTTATTTTCTATTGTAATCTTTTTTAGTTCTTTTGCCAGTTCTGTACTATTTTTGCAATGTTGATCTGTGTTACCTAATAACGGACTGATGATTTTACTGATTTCTTTTGTCATGTTGTATGTTGGTGTACCTATGCTGTCTACTATTGGTCTAAGTGGGGTGTTTTGTTTGTGTATTTTTGGAGTTTATGTTCTTGGTATTATGTTTGCTGTAGGAATCCAGTAGGAAGTGAAGCCAACATCAGCGTCACCTCTGAAGATGTTTGTAGCCGCAAATGAAA